GGGCACTCGACCACCAAGCCACATCCCTAGTCCTATTTTGTATTAGAGACAAGGTCTCACTGAGTTGCTTAGCAACTAGCTAAACTGCTGAGGCTGACTTTGAACTCTATATCCTTAAGCCTCACTTCCCTAGATCCACCACCGTGCTGGCCTAGAGAGAGATTTATTTTAAAATAGAAATACAAAGGGAGTCAGGTTTCATTTATATTACCTGACCACCTCACATAATGTACGAACCCTTTCAACATCATTAGTTGAAAACTGTAGTGTAAGCTTGCAAGTGCTAGTTTGAATATTTTATGTTTTAACTTTTTCCTTTTTAAAAGAGATTGTTAAAAATGTATCCCCCCCACCCCTTTTCCCTTCACTTTTTCTTTTTTTTGGTGCTGGAGATCAAACCCGAGTCCTTGTGCATGCTAAGCAGGCACTCTACCTTTGAGCTACATCCCAATTCAGTAGCAAGGAAGAGAACTGGGATGCCTTAGAAAAGTGGCTGATGGTAGGTGTGAGGTGGGAAATAGACAAGACATCCTAGAATATCTTACAACATCAGAAAGTAAGGAATTGATTAAAATAACCTAAAATGCTAGGACTGTATCAAAGCAACAAAACAATGGCTGGATTATAACCCAAAGTATAAAATATCCCTGTGTCTATACTGATATAAGTGATGGAACAGGAGACAGATCTGCAGAATAATTCCAAATCGTTTTTGCACCATCCTCCAAGAGTGGAGCCCAGCTCCTTACTATGTAAGGGTAATTTGCATAGTGGTGATTTCAGAGAGTGCTGTATGGAAAGGTGGGAAGGAGGAATAACTTTTTACAGTGGAGAAATCTGTCAACACTGCCTCAGTCAGGTGATCAAGGTCCACATCGACACTGATAAGTCACACTGATAATATGTACTCCTGATATGATGTGGTGAAAATGGAACTTGGCCTCTGTGGTCTTTCTCCTCAGAACACATAAGCTCAGTGTAATCATGAGAGACATTCTACAAAATGCCTGAATGGTACTCAAAACTGTCAAGGTCATGAAAGATAAAAATCTGAAGCTATTTCTGTCAAGGGAAGCTTGAGGAGACAGGATGACTAAATGTAATATAGCAGTAAAGGAAAACTGAATGCAGTATGGGATTTAGTTATGTATCAATACTGATTCAATCATTGTGACAAATATATGACACTAATGTACACTGTTAATGGGGAAGCTGTGGGTGGAGTTAGAGGAATTTTATTATCCTTGGAATAATTCTATAAATATATATATGTATGTATTTGATACTGGGGATTGAAACCAAGGGTGCTTTACCATTGAGCTACAACCCCCGAATTTTATTATTATTATTTTTTTTTGGAGACAGTTTAAATTGGTGAGGCTTGCTTCAAACTTGAGATCCTCTTGCTTCAGCCTCCTGAGTTCCTGAGTTGCTGGGATTACAGGTGTTCATTACCACATCTGGTATAATTCTGTAAATCTAAAAAGTCTGCATAAAACACCTTTTGGGAGGGGCAGGTAATGGGGATTGAACCCCCCAGAGTCATTCAACCACTGAGTCACATCCCCAGCCCTTTTTTGTATTTTAGAGACAGGGTCTCACTGAATTGCTTCACACCATGCTTTTACTGAGGCTAGCTGAACTTTTGATCCTCCTGCCTCAGCCTCTCGAGCCCCTGGGATTCCAGGCATTCACCACTGCAGCCGGCTTATCTTATTATTATTATTTTTTTTAAGTGAAGAAAATCACTATCACAATTTAGCAGTCTCACAATAAATGGCAAGGGGAGGGATCCCCATTTCAGCAAAAATAAAAATTGCAGTTATGTAGCTTTATTATTTGACTCCCTTTTCATGCAATATCTAACTGAAAACTAATGCCATTTGTTCCCTCTGAATTTGTTATTTTTTCATGGGAGAAAAAGAATTTATTTGGCTTAAATTTACTTTTAGAAACTGAAAAGGTGAGGCTCAGGCCTCTTTTGGGGGGATATTGGGGACTGAACCCAGGATCTTGCACATTATACACCACTCTACCCCTGAGCTATGTATACATCCCCAGCCCTTTATCTTTTATTGTGAGATGAGGGCTTGCTAAATTGCCCATGCTGGCCTTGAACTTGTGATCCTCCTGCCTCAGACTCCTGAGTAGCTGGGATTACAGGTATGCACCATTGCACCTAAAACTTCAAGTTTCTTTTTCTTTTTTTTTTTGGTACTGGGTATTGAACCTAAGGGCACTTAATCACTGAGCACATCCCCGGCTCTTTTTATTTTTTATTTAGATAGAGGGTCTCCCTGAGTTGCTTAGACCCTCGCTGAATTGCTGAGGCTGGCTTTAAACTTGAGATCATCCTGCCTCAGCCTCCTGAGCTACTGGGATTACAGGTGGGTGCCACCATGCCCAGCCTCAAGTTTCTTTTTTTTTTTTTAATATTTATTTTTTAGGTGTAGATGGACATAACACAATGCTTGTATGTAGTGCTGAGGATCGAACCCGGGTCCTGCCTGTGCGAGGCCAGAGCTCCACCACTGAGCCACAATCCCAGCCCCTCAAATTTCTTGAAGTAAGGACAACTTTGTATGTCCAGAAAGATGAATCAGGGATATATCAGTATTAATTATAACTGACAACTGTATCAATCAAAATTTCTTCTTGAGTATAAACCTTCCCTCTCTAAGGTAACCAAGAGAGGGAAGGTTACCTTACACTTCTGTACCACTTGACCCCAGATTACAAAGCACAGCTGTTTTCAGGTATCTTTTCTGAACTATTCTCCCCCACACCCAACCTCCCCTGTAGGCCACCCTTTCTTCTCTCTTGCCAGCTACCTATTTGAATCCTTGTCTGCTAAAAGCTCAGTTCAGACAGATCTTCAGTCTTTATTGGCCACACTTATTGGAACATTTTTGCTTTTGGAGATATATGACACTTTAGCATTTAAATTATTTTTCCAATTTTTGTTGGAAATCCTATGTTTTTCTTCCTCAGATTGTCAATGACTTGGAAGGAGCAATAACCGTTTCCTTGGAAGACTCTCCGCCTACTTGTCTTGTGTTTGTATTG